TTTTGGGCCTAGACCCTTCTTCAGAAAATGAAGAAGGGTCTAGGCCCGAAACGTCAGCCTTCCTGCTCCTCTGATGCTGCTTGGCCTGCTGTGTTCATCCAGCTCTACACCTTGTTATCATACATTTGGTAGACATAAGTTTTGGAAAAATGTACATTTGGTGATTTTCATTTTCCATGAACTGTTCTAAAATAGTTGACGAAGTTTTAAGAATTCGGGGCTGATTGACAAGTTATGTCCAATTAATGCAGAGCAGTGGTTAAGAAGGCAAATATGACAATATTAAAGTAGAATGTAAATTAGAGGAGGGCCTATTGAACTTTATGGTATTATTAGATTGTATTCTAGGTACTGCAAATAGCTTTGGCCAAGCACTAGAGCAATTCCATGAAGGTGATCTACATAGGAGGAATAACAGGAGAATGGGTTTTTCAGCCTTTCAAGGCTGGACTGGAGGGACTGGATTGTAGAACCTATCTGTCCTGTGGTTAAAATCCCCAACTAATGTGTTAAGGGTGATCTTAGAGTTATGCAACATTAGATTTATGTAACATTGTTGAAGGTATAGAGAAAAACGAAACCTTGAATATTAAACTGGGAGTACAGCACGGGGACAGAGTTTCAAACGTGTAACAGGTCATTCAGCATTGATATCATGAACTCATTTTGAGACAGTGAACAATCGACAAGAAGACGATAAAATTTGGCGTAAATTTGTAAAGAGACTACGTTACAATGTCGGAATGGATGAATGCAGGCGGGCCCAAATGACTTTGCTCATGATACTATTGTAAACGCATGTTCGGTGTACACAAAGTTAAAAAAAACACTCGACAGCATGTGTAGCTGGCTGACTGAAAAAACTCTCAATTTTGTAAAGTATTAGTAAGTTGATGGAAGAAGCGGGCTCGAGGTCTATTTCTCACTGTCGGATTGTTTGTCTCCTCAGGTTGGGTCGCTGAGCCATGTGGGCTACCGTCGTGAGGCGGGTGTTGATGTTGTTGTGACAGCGGCGCCTTGGAACGGCAGTTTGAGAGAGCCATGGCCGAGCGGGGTGGTGCGGCCGCTGCAAAGGTAAACCCGCTGGCGGTGGGGGGGGAAAACAGAGTGAGAGGAGGAAAACCTGGTCGGTGGCCCGGAACAACGCAGGGAGGGCTCTCATTATGAATCCCTCCGGGAGCTGGGGCTATGAGGTGGAGAGTCGCTGTCTGGCGTTCGGAGAGTTATAGGCAGCGTCAGTTGAGGCCTGTCCTGACAGGCTGCCATAGCGGCCCGGGAGAAACCAAACAGCTCCATATGTCTGGTGCAGAGCTGGGGACCAGAATGTCTCCGATCACTGCTTTTGGCTTCCCCTTTTTCTGTTCATCCGGCTGTTCTTATTCCTTCAGCCAAAGAAGGGTATTTGAGGGCGGCCTTATTTCTATAGCTCGCACTGTGGACTAACCATCTATTTTGTAGATTTCTATTTACATAACGCCTTTATCATGTCAGGTTTTCCCAATGCAGTTTAAAGCTAGTGTAATAGTTCTGTAGTATGCTGTTTGTTTTGCGTAAACTTTGAAATTAACGCACTTAAAAATTGTACGTTTGTTGACAGATTTAGTGCCACTGTTTGCTAAATGTCGATTGCTTTCTCAAATTATTATATTATGCAATAGCAGAAAGCGAACAAGTATTCTTCTTTCCGGTCAGGCAATTCCTCCGTTTCTAATAGCGCAACCGAATGAATTTCGGATCATGATATCATGTGCTGCAGGTCATTACCAATCATCCCATGTTCTATTTAATAAATTGTAAGGACCTACGATAAAATTGCTGCTTTATCATCACTGTTATTAAAACGAGTATTAATTATCAGTTAATAAGTTTATTTGTGAATTCGTGTTTCAAAGATTCTTGTAAACCGTAAGAACAAGGAAGCAGGAAGTGTTTGAGGAAGAAGAAATGGATTAAAGAAATGCACGGAGACTCAAGCTAGACTGAGCATTTCAATCCAAGAATATTTGCACGACAATCATAGAAAATTGGGACAAACTGCAGAAATCTTTCTCAGAATTAGAAAATCGCACACGCTGTACATCTAAACACAAAGATGGGTGGGGATGGGCTTTGGTGGAGAATAAAGAACAGATTAGACAGGTTGACTATGGAAACATGGTTACTGTTTAAAATTAGGATGTGGAATGTACTACAGACAAGTTTTATCTGGCCTGCAAACTTCCCATAAATATTCGAGTTAGACATGCTCATAAAATAGTTTCAATGAGGAGGCTGATTTCTGAACAAACCCATTAGACATGGGAACAGTAGTAGGCTATTCAGCCCATCAAGTCAGCCCCACCATTCAATGAGGTCATGGCTGATCTGATAAATTTCAAACCGCTTTCCTGTCTTTTCCCCATAACTGTTGACTCCTTTACTGATCAAAAATCTGTATCTCAGCTTTAAATGTGCTTAATGACCCAGTCTGAACACCCCTTTGTGATAAAGAATTTCACTGAGACACTACCCTCAAAAGAAATTCCTCCTCTTCTATCTAAATGTGTGACCTTTATTCTGAGATTATGACCTCTGCTCTTAGACTCCCCCCACAAGGGGAAACAACCTTTTTGCATCTATTCTGTCAAATCCTCTAAGAATCGTGTATATTTCAAAAAGGTTGCCTCTCCTTTTAAATTCCAATGAGTACAGGCCCAATGAACTCAACCTCTTCTCATTTGAGACAGTCCCTTCATATCTGGTATCAGCCAAGTGAACATCTCTGGATTGCCTGCAATGCTAGTATTTCTATCCTTAGATCAGGTGCCCGAAACGGTTCACAGTATTCCAGCTGTGGTTTGACTAGTGTCTTGTATAATTGTATTAACACCTCCCTGCCTTTGGACTTCATCTGTGAAATAAAGGCCAATATTCCATTTGCCTTCCATATTACCTGCTGAACTTCAATGATTGTGGTTAATGCACAAGGATTTTCAAATCCTTCTTCTGTTGCTTTCCTCAGTATTTTTCCATTAGTAATTTTCAGCTCCTGTATTCTTCCTGCCGATGTGCAAAATCACCTTTCGCCACATTACTTTTCTGTCTACCGAGTTTTTGCCAATTTACTTAAAATGTCTATATCCCTCTGTAGACTCTTTGTGTCATCCTCACCACTTGCCTTCCCATCTATCTGTGTAAATTACAAACTTGGCTATGGTACACGAACTCTCCTTATCCAAGTTATTTATATATAATGTAAATAATTGTGGCCTCAGCACTGATCCTGTGGCTCTCCAGTAGTTACAGGCTACCATCCTGAAAATACCTCAATTTCCAATTCTGCATCTTCTATTAGATAACCAATCCCCTATCAGTGCCATCTGAAGGCAAGATCTCGTTAATGGACCAATTGATATTGGTGCTGAAAAATATGCCAGATTGGGAGGAGTGCTGATTGTCTCTAAGGGTTGTGGAGTTGCAGGAAGTTAGAGGTAGAGCTTAAGTAAGATTTCAAAACAAAGACAGGAATTCCAAAATCTATCTGTTGGTGTATAGAAAAATTATTTTGGTTTAAGAAATCATTCTTAATAAATGGGAGCTCACGCAGTTCAGCAAGAAAAGGGGTGATGAATGAGCCTATTATGTATTTTTTAAAATTCGTTCATGGGATGTGAGGTGTCCATTCAAGTGGATGTTGCCAGTAAGACCAGCATTTGTTCATCTCTTCTTGCCCTTGAAAAAGTTGTGATGAGCCACTTTCTTGAGCTGTTGTAATCTGTGGTTTAGGGATACTGAAAATTCTGTTAGGAATGGAGTCCAAGGATTTTGATCCAGATGTTGAAGAACATTTCAAGTTAGGGAGGTTTGTGACTTGGAGTGGAACTTGAGTGGTGAAGCATGCATCTGCTGCCCTTATTGTTCCAGGTGGTACAAGTCATGGATTTGGAAAGTGGTGCGGAGCATCTTAAAGACAATGCATTTGTGAAAGGAGTGAATATGTAAGGTGGTACGTAGATTCTGATTAAGTGGCCTCTGTTTGTTTGGGATTATGTCAAATTTCATGAGCATTGCACTATTCCAGGCAAGTGGAGAATGTACCATCATAATCCTGACTTGTGCCTTGCTAATGACAGGTAGATTTTGGGGAGTTTGGAGGTAAGTTACTCACTGCACAATTCACAGTCTCTGACCTATTCTTCTAGTCATGGTTTTTATGTAACTGATTCAGTTTGTTTCTGGACAGCTGCAATTCCGAGACTAGTGATGGTGGGGTATTTACTAATGATAACATTGTTGAAAATCAAGGAGAATTTAAGAATATGTTTTGTCATATAGAAAATGTGCTGGATATTCGTGAAATAGTGAGCAGATCTTGGTAGTGCTTTATGTGGTCCAACAATTGTGTACATGATCCAGTTGTTAACTACATCAGTTGAAGATTGCGTCATTTCCACTTAAGGAAGTAGGGCCAAGTGGCATCCCAGAAGACCACCAGAATGAGAAAAGTGATAGGTTTTAATTGAGTTTACGGGATCACAAGTAGAAATTGACGTGGGATGTGGTCGAGTAGATGAATAGTTGCCAAAAAGTTGTGGTGGATGGCATATCTTGCCGTGCAAGTGGCTTTACCTGTGATTAACATGATAGGAGTAGTTAGATCATGTGAGTTAATGTCAGCATGCTGGGGAGCAGAAGACTATGGTGGAGGATATTATATGGAGGGAGAAATTAAGGAAAGATGGGAGGTCTGTGGACATGGGAGAGTTGACTTGATGGCTTGAATTGGCTGAGACCATAAAACCATAAGGCAAAGGAACAGAATTAGGCCATTCAGCCCATTGAATCTGCTGCACCATTCGATCATGGCTGATATGTTTCATGACCCCATTCACCAGCCTTCTCCCCTTATTTCTGCCTTGATCCCCTTACTAAACAAGAACCTACTTATCTCTGTCTTAAATATATTCAATGACTTGGCCTCAGACCTCTGCAACAATGGGTTCTGCAGAGTCACCATCCTCTGGCTGAAGAAGTTCCTCTTCCTCTTGGTTCTAAAAGGTCATCCTTTCACCCGGAGGCTGTGCCACCATGTCCTAGTCTCTCCTACTAGTGGAAACATCATATCCACTCTATCCAGGCCTATCAGTATTATGTAAGTTCAATCAGATTTCCCCTCATCCTTCTAAACTCCATCAAGTACAGACCTGGAGTCCTCAACTGCTCCTCATATGACAAGCCCTTCATCTCTGGAATCATTCTTGTAAAGCTCCTCCTCATCCCTCTAATGGCAGCATATTTTTCTTAGGTACAAAACCAAACCTGCTCACAATATTCCAAATGCGGTCTTGCCAGTGCCTTACATAGCCTCGACATGGAGGTGCTGATGTTGGACTGGGGTGGACAAAGTCAGAAGTCATATGACAATATTAAAATTAAAAATAAGGTGGTGCTGGAGACAAACCAAATGACTTTAATAACATTATTATAGATATAAGAGTCACATGTCGAGGGTCTAACCAAAGTAGTAAGTAATCCAAAACTGTACAAACTAATTAAGGTAGAGAGATCATAACAATTTATCAAGGTGATGGTATCAAAGCAGGACAGTAAGGAAGATTTTACACATACAGAACAGTGTGGTAGGGTCACATCTAGCACGACATGAACCCAAGATCATGGTTGAGGCCGTCTTCGTGGGTACAGAACTTGGCTATCGGTTTCTGCTTGGTGAGTTTGCATTGTTGTGTATCTCAAAGGCCGCCTTGGGGGATACTTATGTGAAGATCGGAAGCTGAATGTCCTTGACCACTGAATTGTTCCCTGACCAGGAGGGATCATCCCTGTCTGGCCATTGTTATGCGGTGATCATTCATCCATTATCATATCATCTGCATGGTCTCGCCAATATATCATGCCTTAGGGCATCCTCGACTGCAGCATATGAAATAGACAACATTGGCTGAGTCACATGAGTATCTGCCATGTACGTGATGGGACATGTTCCCACGTGTGATGATGGTATCCATGCCGATGATCGGAATGTCTTGGAGAGGTTGCCATTGGAGAGTTATGTGGTGTTGTGATCGATGTTGTCC